AACAGCCCTGGTTGTACTCACAGAGTACAACAGCCCTGGTTGTACTCACAGAGTACAACAGCCCTGGTTGTACTCGCTTTGTCTTGAACTCACAGAGATCCACTTGCCTCTACCTACCTAGTGTTGGGATTAAAAGCGTGTGCCACCATGGCCTGGCTACTGATTTTTTCTGTATCCTTTCCAATTTCCACTGTGGACTGGGGATTGACAGAGCATATACTCTTCCAATGAGCATACTCCTAGCCTTATACCTGCTTTGTTTACTTTTATTTTTAAAGTTTTTTTTAAAGTAGATGTGTGTGTATGTGTGTGTGTGTGTGTGTGTGTGTGTGTGTGTGTGTGTGTGTGCAGGTACCCACAGAGGCCAGAAAAGGTGTCAGATTCCCTTGAGATAGCACTACAAGTAGTTGCAAGCTACCTGATGTGGGTGCTGGGAACTGAATTTAGGTTCTTTAGAGAGCAGGAAGCTCTCACCCATCGAGCTCTCTCTCCAGCCTTTCTTTTAAAAAAAAATTCATTGCCAATTTCACACATGAGACTAATTGTGTTTTCATCCCTTTACCTCATCCCTCTTCTTCCTCTTGCTGAAACCATTCTGCTGAACACATTCATGCTTTTTTCCCTGTGTGACCCTCGGAGTTTAAATAGAACTGCCTTCATGAGAATGGATGGGAGCTTTGTTTTGTTTTGTTGTTACTGGACTATGGGCAGGCAACTTACCAGTGGTTTCAACACTAAAGAAAGTGACAGCCCTTCTTTCAGTCACCATTAACTTTCAGGCGGAGGTGGGGCCTTCTGGGCCCTTTCCCCTTCCTTGATGAAATGATGGATCTAATCTTGCATCGGCCCGCTGAGCTTGTGAGTGCATCAACCATGGTCATGACATATCCAGAAGGCAGTTTTGAATCAGTCCTTCTCAACCACTGACTCTTACAATCTAGAAAGATTGTAACAGTCAGATAGATGTCCTTCTCTTCTGCAATGTTCCCTGAGCCTCAGAGGAAGGTGGTAGTGCCAACATAGATGCCCCATTTAGGGCCAGGCACTCCATTTTCTGTACTTCTACCAATTGTTTTTATAGATAATTCACAGCAAAAAACAGCTTCTCTGACGAAAGCTGAGAGTTGTACTAATCTATACACGAGGATAAAGGTGAATATTTAGAATGTATTTCCAGCTAGCAAAGCACCAATAGTAGATCCTCTCTGGGGCCTGTGACCACCCAGTCACAGGCTATAGTTCCAAGGTGGTTATAGGCCAGTTTCAAATACTGAGCTCCCTTTTGTGGAGGGGCTGAGATTCAAATAGAAAGTGACTGGTTACTCCCGTAGCATCTGTGCCACTATTGCACCAATGGGCATGCCTTCCCAGGCTGCTCATCATTGTCACTCACAACTAGATAAGACTGCTGATGACTGCTCCTGGGGCAGCCTCCAAAGTACTTGCCATAAATACGATAGCTATCTAGAAGGGAGAAAGATTTCACTTCCAGCTTGGATGCTCCATATCCTGTGGCTGACTATGTGTGGCGTCTTCAGCAATAAAGTATTACCATCAAGTTTTGCTTGGTTGATAGACAACCAAAAACAATGATAATTCCTTTTATTACTTTGGGGGCCATTGGATGCTCTTTGATGAAAACAAACAAACAAACAAAAAAACCTCAAAGGGAGCTATTGTACACCTGGCGCTGAGATTTTTGCCTAAAGTCTTATGGCTTCTGGGAGAAGCATTATCTTCCTGTATGGGAGCATTGTTTAGAAACAGGTATGAAAGCACAGGACCTAAAGATTTAATATAGAAAATTATTTTTTAAAAAGAAATATGAAGACTAGAGTATTTCATTTTTATAGGATATAAATAACTTTCTATAGGACCCCCTAGAGGATTTTAAGGTCCTTTCCCGGTCTGTCTACACTCTCTTTTGCTCCATAATGCGTTCTCCACACTGGCTTCATTGCCCTTTGTTGAATCTTTGCCCTCAGATGAGGCTGAACTTCTTTGTCAGCAGACAGAGCACAACAACGGTGTTCAGATTGTTCCGGGATGAAGAACACAGTCTATTTTCAGACCCTCGGAGGACCACGTGACAAGCAGACCATACTGCCATTCCCTACCTGTACTGCCTCATCTCTTAGACCAAGGGTTGCCACTTATTAGCTAGGTCTAGAGGGTTGATTAGCTTCTCTGTGCCTCTCTCCCCTCACCTGTAGAAGGAAGCTAATACAGCTAGTTCCTAAGGTTCTGGTGATGAGGAAGTGGCACCCATTTCAAGCCTCTGGCAAGGTACTCTGCCCTTTGTAACTATATTAGCTGTTACTGTTTCTGTTAATCCCGCAATGGTTGGGACCACCCTGCCACAAAGGGCTGCACTCTTGGGGCTTCTTTGTTCGTGCCACTCGGTCTTCTGGTGCTACACTCTGGAAAGTTCCTCTGTCCAGGTTGTGACACCTTTGGTCCCCTTTCTCTGTCCATTGCCACTCACATAAGCCATCTTAAGGAACTGCCATGCCGGCATATTCTGAGCAAAGTAGCCTTGGTGTCTAGAGGGGCAGAGTCGTGTGGCAAAACAAAGGGGCCCCAATTCTTGCTGCTGTCTTGCTGCCTGCCTGCTGTGATGTCGGACCCTTTCCCTTTTCAGGATCAGGTTTTAAATGGTAACTGAAAGACAGCTGCTGCCCCTAGACCTGTTAGCCAGATGTCATGCCATTTACACTGGAAATTCAATTCTGCTTTAAAACTTCAAGAACAAAGCAGGGGCATAGCCTGAAGCCTGTGGAGACAGCCCTTCTACTAGGCAGGGAGGGCCCCAGGTCTTTTCATTTATGTCTTTTTGATAATCAAGGAAAATCCCTCGGTGACCTATGGGGACACTCTGATTCTAGTCTGAGTGGGCCAGGGGAGTCTAATAGGCCCATCTTTGATACATTTAGATAAGTTGGGAGACTAGAGACTGAATTATCCCTTGGAGAGTGCAAGGACTAAATCCAAAGACAAAGGAGGACAGCTGAGACAAAACTCTTGCCACTTTTCCTGGACATTCAGAACCCCAGTGCAGAGTTCAATGGTGAAACCATGGCGTCAAGCTTAGAAAATGAGTTTCTGGTTCACCTTTAATGGCTGGATTTCAACAGTACATCAACACACTCTTGTCTTCAGTACATGGTTAGCTGCTTTCATACTATTAAGGTCAGAAAAGACATACATCTTAATAAATATAATAGTTCATAAAGATTTGGGGCTGAAGTGCAGTCAGGGTGTGGCTCAGTTGGGCACATGTCCTCAGACCCAGTGAGATGCCTTGCCCGTGCTCTAGCAATAGCATGCTGTCTTAGTTCCAAGGAAGGTAGGGATGGTTGCAGGAGCCCTAGGTATCTGAGGACCATGGCAATTAAGAGTAGGTCTGTGAAGTTAAAGTCAGGCTATTTAGAATATCAGTGCTGAGAAACAGCGAGTGTACACAAGTGCCATTGAAATGCATCGGGCAATTGAAAACCTCCAGTTAGAAGGTGAATTGCTATGGTATTAGCTCAGTGGCAAAGCACTTCACCTGGGTCCAATCCTTGATAGCAGAAAAAAAAATATGGTTAGAAAACCACCTTTTAAGGCCTTCAAACTATACCTAAATCCTTAAGCATGACACCAGAACCTCTAAATTTCTGATCTGTGTACTATATTCAGGGTATGAATGGAATAAATTTTCTTTTGCTCCAAGGTGATTTGTAAAAATAAGAATTTAATGACAGTAACTATTGTTGGCTTAGAACTCATGTTCTAAGCTATGTAGGCCACAAAGAATTTTGATCCAGTTTTCATGACTACACTTCTCTCCCTATTGCAAGCATCCGTATTCCCAACTTCCTTGACAGGTGTGCCCTAAGACTCTGTAAGTCCATAGGCTTAATTGGTTGCGGGGTCTCTCTGACTAAAAATATTACTGGGACTTCCACAGGCCCGTGCTTACAGAAACGCACAAGGACAATATCAGCACTTCCTTTTATTGCTTCTTTGGTTATCTAGGAATCAAGGTCCTAAGTGACAGAAAAAACTTCCAAGGCCTCTGATATTCCTGTGTGGTAGCAGGTTGAGGAAAGGCAGAACAGTCTCCGTACTGGGTTGCGGGTCTTCGGGCCCTAACCAGGTCTAATGTTGAGTGCGTACAGTTTCATTAAAGCAAAGCAAAAGTGTCAGTAGTAAGAAAAGTTGATATTGTCTCCTCCCACAATACACTTTTATAAGGACTCTGCTTGGTGTCTGTGCCTGGGATACAAATCAGCTATAAGGAATCTTTAAATAATAGATACAGTAGATGCAAGTATCACCAATTCTTTTAAGTATAATGCAAATTTATAGATTATCAACATTTATTGATGTACTTTCATTTAGTATATTACAGATATTCCAGAGAAAAGTTTCTAAAATGCTGATTTTTTTCACCAGTTAATAAGACATAAATAATTCTCACATGATGCTACATGCATGTGATCCCAGCAGTTGGAAGGCTGGGGTAGGAAGATCATGAGTTCAGGGCTAGCCTGTGCTACACAGCAGAACTTGTCTCAAAATAACTAATACCCTATATACAGACAAGTCAATCACTATTTTTTTTTCCTGTAACTGTCTTCCTTCCTTCCCCCTCCTGTTCTTCTGATGTCATTATAGTGTTTGTGAGACAGGGTCTCACGGTTCAGACTGGCCAATAACTCATGATGTAGTCCAGGCTGGCCTTGAACTCACCATCCTCCTGCTTCGACTTCTCACCCGCTAGGATTATAGGCATAAATATCATCCCTAGATACACTTTAATTTTCCATTACACAAGGAAAAGGATATGATCTGACACACCAGAAAAGTGCTGAGGGCCATTCAGAGAACGCAGGGAGCAAAGCAAGTGGTGTGCAAGCCGGAGGATCAGGGTCCCAGTGGAAGCTGACAACTGGAGCCCCAAAGTTGCCCTCTGACCTCTGCTCACACGCCATGGCCCTTGCACACTCACATGTGCACACTCACATCAAACAGCCGCACACACCAAATTTTAAAAAGCAAATGCACTAGTAGTAAAATGTAATTTTTGTGATTCATAATTATTCATTAATATATATTTATGTCATCTTAAGGTTGCTATAGCAATAATGACTATCACAGCAGCTCAAGCCAGAGACTCTGCAGACATTTAGGCATGTATTTAGAGTAACTTAATATGGTAGGTAGTTCAAGAAAGGTTTTGCAGTCATTAAAAAATCATAAAGCTAAAAATTTTCCAAATGCCATCATTTATAACCTTCTGGCTATCTTTAAAACACTCAAAACATCTACTTAAATTATTTAAGATTCTAACCTAAATATGCATAAGAGATACACAGTTTTTTCCCTTTTTAATCTAGGGAACATAAGCAAATGTTATGATTGAGTCTGGAGGGAACACGTGGGTTACGCCTATGGCCAGGGCTGTTAAAGTGGTGGTTTTTTTCCTCTAACTCATCAAAAGTATATATCTCAGTATTTATCTTAAGTATTGTATACTGCATGGAAAAAGAAAATGATTCCTGTCTCGAATCTTGCAGCCCAGGCTTAAACCTCGAATACATTATTTTAAAGTCTGGTCATAGGGAGTAGAAGGTTGGCTACTCCAGGTTTTCAGAAACCCAGCTTTCAGCCAGTGAAAAAAAGTCACTTGCATCTTGGCAGTGACCTTAATTCCCTAGAAATTTAAGGCTTTGGATAGAAAATTACGCCTGGAGAACTCATTTGCTTCAAGAAGGCAGAAGACAGAGAGATTTCTCTAGATTAATGTGCTGGGCCGCATCGAGCTCACTTGGGAGACAGAGACAGCGCTGGCAGCGAGGCAGGGCCAGATGCTCACATCTTCAGCAGATAAATCTACTGCCGGTCTGAATCTTCCACACACTGATACCTTATAAAAGCATCTACAATGCTCCAAAACCCCGAATTATACTTGTCTAATTGTTGAGTTTGAATTACCTAACTATGAGAAGTGTTTTTAATTTTACCTATACATGCATCAGCACTAAGCATGCTAACAGGAGATATTAAACTTGTAAATGGCAAATGAAGTCAATCTGTCTCATTATTTTTACAGTGATCAATTGATTGACTGAGAGGATCTCTATATACAGTCCTGTCTGGCTTTGAACTTGTAGTGATCCTCTTGCCTCTACCTCCCCGGGGCTGTAATCACAGGTGTGTGCTACCCTGCCTGGCTTCTTTCATTCTTTTCTGGACTGGAAATACGGCTCAACAGAAGATATGTGGGGAAAAGCAGAAAAGAAAAACCAATCCCCAGGTGTTTGCAGGCGCCCTTGCACAGCGTGCACGATGCCGGAAAGGAAGAAGAAAGAAAGAACGGCGTATCCAAAGAAGACGGCTCTCCTGGGGAATCACCAAATGAGCTTACGATCCCCAGGGCAGGTGCGCTGAACGTCTCACTGTGTTATCCAGATTTGTGGGACTGCAAATCTGGACTGAATTCTGTTTAGCTGGTGTTAATTCTGTCTTTAAAACATATTAATCCAGGTGAAATGCCACAAGTTAGTTTTCTATTTAAGTGATTCAGAACTACTTCCTGGCCAAATAAATTTTACACTGTTTACTTCATCACCCGAGAAAATGTCCGGAGTCTCAGAAGACAATGAGCATCACCATTACAAAAATGAACAGAGTTTCAAATACATGCTATTCTGAGATTTGAGTTTAAGATTATTAACGAGCTGCCAATAATTAAAACCAAAATGCCTCTATTGGATTAAAACAATAAAAACTCCAGTTGTTTCAGGCTCATGGAGGTTTTAGAGTTTTAGGAATGAGTATTGATTTTCTTTATCCACTAGTTTTCTTGGAGAGTTATGGATTCACAATCAATGGCCAAGTAGAAAAATCTTAATGCACTGGAAATGGGTGTTAAATGGGTCTGTGTGGTGCATGGTGGGGGAGGGGGTGTCCTCATTACCCCACTGCCTTCTCTTAGGCAAAGGACTAAATACAGCAAGGCCATTGCCTGCCTTGTGCTAAGCAATGTGGGATACCCCACCATGAGCAATGGACTCACCCCTTAATGCAAATACAAACCACTTCAGGCTGGGGTTATAGATCAGCGATGGAGATCTTAGCATGTGCAAGGATGGGGGAGCAAAGGGGAGAGAGGAAGGGAGGACCAGGGAGGGGAGAGAGGAGAGGAGCAGAGGGGATGGAGGGGAAGGAAGGGGAGAAGAGAGGAGGCTGGAGGAAAGGAGGGGGAGGGAGGAGAGGGGAGGAGAGTAGCAGGCTTGGGTGTGAGGTGAGGAATTCTGCGTTTCTTACAATCTGCCAGCAGACACTGATCTTGCTGGAAGGGCTGACTTTGAGCAGGAAAAAGCTGGCACACTGGTCATATTCTTTGTCTGGAAATGAGATGGGTAAGCCAGGAGTTGAAGCCCAGGGTCTTTCATTCCGTCTGATGTTACACAGCTATGCAAATAGAAAGCTAATTAACTAAGTGAACTATTATCTACTTGTATAAGATTATAAATCTGGACCAGGTGATGGTTATCAGGTCTCTTCAGTACCACAAAGTGTGAAGATTTTAAGATAACCCTTACTTTACTTTGAGCATTTTCTTTTATATTTCCCTTCATGCAGTGAAAATCAGATTTTATTACACAGTTATCTCTCTAGAACCTCCCTGTGTAGCTGTAGTTACATTCTTTGAGTCAAGACATGATTATTTCTGTTTAAAGTCCACTTCTCTCTTCCTCCACAATTCCTAAGGCCTTTTCAGATCTGTATGCCCCTGTAAGGAGCAGCCCTATGTGTAGCAGACTGTGGGATCATGTGTTTCCCACATGAAACGTAGCTCCCACTAGTTCACATTATTCAGAGGGACTATTATATTCTTAAATAGAGATGATCCTCTAACTAGAGCCATGCCCATCAAACGCAGTCTTGCCAATGTGTCAAGGGCTGGTAACAGTTTCAGACTGCAGTTAGCGGGAGAAAAGAAAATCCTTTCCCTGCCCTGAGTAGAATTTTAATCTAACGCCTATTCCTTATCCCCAGCACCATTATCTTCATTAGAACTTCATTAGTTTGCCTGGACCATTCACTGTCTGCCAGCTGCTGCTGCATCCTCCAGGCTCCCCACCCTACACACCCCCAGCACAGCCCTGCCAGGGCAAAGCTCCTCATTTTCAGAAAAGCACGCGGCATGTCCAGCTAAAAGCACGCACTGGCCTTTAGTCAGCACCTTCACGCAGTGAGATCAGCCTATCAGGTACCTAGGCTGTTACCCCCGCCCCCTCACCAAATGCTTTCTACGATTCTCATGTCTGTTTATGCATTTCTTCTGCCTGGTCTACCTTTTTCTGTACAATTCTGCTCCTCTTTTTAAAGTCTTGCTGTATATACTGATTTTTTTGAGGCATTCCTGATTCCCCTACTAAGCTTCATCCACCTTGCTCTCAACATTTTACTCAGCACCTCCCATGTATATTATGTCCACATAAGCTTTATTCTTGGCGGCTACTATATAATTCTTGAGGATTGATAATATGTCATTTTTTAAGCTCTCACAATTTTTTTTAAACGAAAGTCTCCATATTTGTTGAAAAAACAAGTAAGTGGATAGCTTTAGGGTTAACCTATAGGATGCTCAGAAACCTCAGAAATGTAAAATTATTTATTATTTTAAAATTATTTGATTACTTTCTGTGCACGGGTGTTTTGTCAGGACATACGTGTTGTCAGGACATACGTGTTGTCAGGACATACATGTTGTCAGGACATACGTTTTGTCAGGACATACGTGTGTGTGTGCCACCTTTGTGCAGTGCCCACGGAAGTGAGAAGAGGGCATCAGGTCCAGATGGAGTTACAGAGGGTTGTGAGTTGCCATGCGGACGACAGGATTCTCTCTGCACGAACAGCGAGGGCTCTTAGTCACTGAACTAAGTCTCCAGCCCCTCACTACTTTCTTAATATTCATGACACTCTGTCAAGCCGAGAGTTCATCACCGGGAGAATCAAGGAGATGGGTTTTTAACCTCTAGTGTCTCATGACACTTTTAAGGATTTCTTTCTCCAAATACAAAGATATGCCCATAGCTCAATCTGCACTGTTCAGATGGTGTAGGTTAAACTAAATGTAATTACCGCTTTTCTGTTTATCCATCGACGTCTCTGATACCTTTGTAGCATATAACACAACCTCATGAGAGACAATGGTTCCATTCTGAGTTCCAGACATTCATCACAAAGCAAGAGTGTATCAACAAACTAAGAAACCAGGTTTTGCAATGACAGTCTTTACATCCGTAGAAAAGCTTGCATGTGACTCTCCTTATTGACCCACATTCACGCTAAAAAATAAAGGAACTCATTGTATGCCTCGGGCTCCTGCAATGGGAGCTGAGATTGCAAAACAGCGAGCAAGCGTGTCTCACCTGATGATAGAGATTGTCGCCCAAGATGCTCTGTGCCTTTGCGGCCTTTACCGTCTACCTTATGTTACAGGTATTTATAATTCAGCGTGCAAACAAAGTTCAGAACCAGGAGATCTAGTGCACTGGTCCCTGCCGCATTATACAAGATGATACCGTGGAAGGGAAACACCCACTAATATTTCTTATTTTAATAGGTGCACATTTGCATTAGCATTCGCTAGAAGGAACAGAATTAGCAAAGGGCAAGTGTTACTTTGTAGTTATTTTACCCTGAATCAACTCTCCTTCTCACACACACTCAAGTTTGGAAAGTGAGGGGACTTAAAAAAGGACAAATATTAATTAACTGTAGGGTGGGTGGTGCTGGGAGCAATCATGATGGAGGCTGGGAGGACTGGGATTGAGTAACAGTGCTCTGGTTCAACTCCGGTCACAAGTACACTCCTTCAGCTAGGTCCCGTGCTCTTATCTGTAGAACTGGTTAGGGTGGCCTCCACAGTCCACCCTCCAGTCACGCTTCCCTGCTGCTGGGCTCTCCTGTGAGGCACCGCAGTGAAGAATGGCACCCTCTGTGAGGCAACGGGAAGAATCCTGATCCTAACGCAAGACTTCTACCTAAAGTAGTCAGGACACCCGGCATCTGGTGTGGATTTACGCTGAGATTAGGAAGCCTCGGAAAGACGGGAGGTAACTGTGATTGTGTTTAGTCAGGGTACTCTCCTATGCAGTGGGGAGGCTGCCAGGTACCGATGATCCCTCTCACCGATACTGCAGCGAATCCGATAATTGAGTGTGCCACAGTCACACGTGTTACTGCTTTCCCCGTATGAGAAGGGGAAAGCTGGAGGTCCATGTTACAGCAGGCAGAGGGTTTAAGTCGGTTTTCACTCCCCAAGAACGGAAAGACAAATACCCCATGGAGAAGACAGACGAGCACCAGCCCTAGGTAGGACAGCTACATGAGCGGGTGGCTTTAAGATGACTTCAGAGAGCAGATCTTGTTCTACAGTCTCACCCTGAGAACAGAAACTGTAAGCAGTTACCCATTTCCAAGGGTAATCATTTTTGAATCCAAATGAGCCTTCTGTTCTTTATACCAAGGCGATCTTGTGTCAGTTCGTCCCAGTGACTGGAGAATCTAAGTTCAGTAGAACTCAGCTGTGTGCCAGAATCCTCCAGTGAAGAAAAGAGCCATCAAGAAACATTTTCATGCCTTCTGCTTTCTGAAACCGTAGTCAGAATCTGAGAACCAAACCACTTTTCCCTGACCGGGAGTCGCCATCATTCCGTAGCAGGCCCCCCGCCTCACGGTGGATGGTCTTCTGCAGGCTGTCTATCACGACTTCTGGGCCCAGCCTACAAAGCCGTCAGTAACCAGGTAGACCGAGGGAGAGGAACACTGGATGATGATATTAGCTCTGCCAGGATTTGAAGGAAGTACTTTGGAAATTAAGGACTTCCTTTTCTATTTGAAATACTTATCACATCAATGCAGTTCAATAACCAAATGAACAAATGCCAATAAAACCAATATAATCTACTTTTTTTTTTTTGTGGAGATGATCTGCTTGCTATGGAAAGAAAGCAGGAAGGGAGGGGGAGGATGGAAGACAGGAAGTGACTGAGGGAGAAAGAATAACCCACTAGGCTGAGAACCCTAAAAGACCAGGGTCGCAGAGCGTACAATACATACATGAGCATGGAAATCAGCCCTCTGGAATACCGACTTCATTTTCTGTTGCCAATTCCAAGGCCTTTTGAAAAGTGTGGCTTCACAGTTCCTAGCATTTTACAGCCCTTGTTAAATACATCTACAGACATGTTACGTTTCCGGGCACCCTGTTCCAGGGAGCCCTGGCAGGCTGTGAAAGGGTGTGTACACCGTGGACGTTTGGAACTGCTCCTGGCTCTGGTCATCACTGCTGACTCAGCCTCCGGCTAAGGATGGCGGTCAACCTCCGCCGGGTCTCATTTACCGAAGATGCCCTGCCCCTGGGAGGATGAGACTGGGGAAGGGCGGGCAGTCCGGAGCTGCTGACCTTCTTGAGCTTATCTGGGCTTGGGGAAGCAGTGGGTTTTGGCAGTCCGTGCCGGCTGGGCGGGTGGGCGCCTCGTCCACAGTTCTGCCTCGCACTGCTTTGTTCGTGGTGATTGCTGGCTGCGGTGGCAGGGTAGGTTAGGGTGCCCTTGCTGAGGGAACACGGTAAGCTTCCTCCACTCCTCCTGAGCTCCAGCAGTTGTTCTCTGGCCTGACTCAAAGCCTCTGTCAGTTCAAAGCGTTCTTCACACTCTCTCCGCACCGTTTCCTGGAGAAAAGTGTTCTGAAAAGAGATGAGGAGAAAAGCAGCTCTGGCTTTAAACAGTTTATGTAAGTGGCCAGTTCCTGACAGCTTAAGTCAGACTGAGCTGGAGGTCGGAGGCTGTATTCTCTGTCTCTTTACCACGCAGGACAGGGAAGGGAGGAAAAGTGTGTGAGGCTGGAGAGAAGGCTGAATCAGAATGTTTAGTTCAAGCCTTGACATTTGTGAGAGAGTGTGTGTGTGGGGAACCCGTCCAGGGTTCTGTGGGTGGTATGGAGGGACAGGGGGCAAAAATCCCAGGCCTACTAAGGCTGACATCAGTGGAATTTCAGCTTCCTTGCCTCACTTCTTAGCCAGCAATGTCTGATAGCCACTAAATATTATCTGTAAAGTCAGCACATGTTACTCTGTAATGAAAGCATAGCCCAACCCATGAAGCAAACTGATGAAATCATGAGATTGAGAAGAACAACAATATAGCAACCACAACAATTAAACAGTAATACTAGTTATCAGACGCTTTCCGTAGAACTTAAACACACACACATCATGTGTCATTCTATAGGATAATCTCCCCAATAAAGAACATGTTCTTCTTTTAATTCCAGCAGAAATCTCCCATCAAGTTACCGTAAGCCATGCTGGATAGCCTGTATTAGTGGGCATCACTGCATTGTGAAGACGATCTGAGGTAGTTAACTTTAGGGAGAATACGCTTATTTTGGCTCATTGGTTCTGGAGGTAACAAGATCAGACACTCCTTTTGTGTTGGGCCCTGGGGAGGATGGCAGCTCACAGTAGGAGGGCGTGGTACAACCAGTCAGGAAGGCCTGCCAGGACCCCCCCCCCGCCTCCAATGATGCCCACAAGGCCAACATCCCAAAGGCCCCAACACTTCCCAACAGCACCATCTGGGGACTAATCCTTTAACACGTGGCTGTCCAAACTATAGCACAGCCTCTTACTGAAGAGGTTTGCAGCCTCATAAGATTGGCCAGAACTGGCTTCTGTGAATCTAATGGACTCTGAACCCAAGAGCAGATGCTATGAGTTTTCAATAAGGATGGGCTTTTTGATAGAATAATCTGTAGAAAATGCAATCTCACACAGTAGGGATATGTTGAAATGGATGTAAGCTTTAAATATGATTGGATTAGAGATTCTTCATTTTTTAAAATATTTATTTATTATGTATACAATATTCTGTATATATTCTGTCTACATGAGGTCTACAGATGGTTGTGAGCCACCATGTGGTTGCTGGGAATTGAACTCAGGACCTTTGGAAGAGTAGGCAATGCTCTTAACCACTGAGCCATCTCTCCAGCCCTCTTCATTTTTTTTTAAGCTGAGGAATTCTCCATTTCCACATATGGAGTTCATCACAATTTCCTCAAAACCCCATAGTAAACATTAGGTCTTGGATCTTCCCAATGTCCAGATTCTACAAAATGTCATCCCTAGGCATAGTATGGCCATTGTCATCAGAGCAGCTTGTGATCACCCACACTAGACCCTAACATGGGAGGGCTTCCTCACATTTCCTCATAGGAGGAGGGAGAAAGGAGGGTCATTAGATGCCCACCTGAGATTCCACCCACTCCCCTTTCTCTCGCACTTACCCCATTCACTGTAAATAATTCTGCTCTAGAAGATCCCGGAGTATACAGTAGGGGAAGGTTAAATGAAGTGTGTGAGTGTTTGTGATGCTTTTAGGAGGTCGTCACTCACACTGGAGGAGAACTTTTTGGAGAGGCAGCTGCTTTGGGGTTACCTATGCTCCTGCTAATAACAACCACAGCCATGTTCCTGTAAATAAGCCCAAGAGAACTATGGTTCAGCAAGCTGGGTTTGGATAGCACTGCTGGTGTGATGGGTCATCAGTGGCCTGTCTAAGGTGAACGTGTGAAATGGCTGCTGCACCTGACATTGCAGGCCGACGGATCTGTAAATGGGGATGGGGCTAGGGAGATGGTTCAGTTACTATGTGGTTGTCAAGCAATCGTGAGGACTTGAACTCAGTTTCCCCCAACACCCATGGAAAAAGTCAGGGATGGCAAAGCATGTCTCGAATCCTAGTTCTGAGAAGGCAAAGGCAGGAGGATTGCTAGGGACTTTGGGACCAGCTGGTCTGCCTGAACTGGTGACATACAGATTCAATGAGACATTCTGTCAAAAAATAAGGGGTAGAGCGATGGAGGAAGACACCCAACATTGACTTTTGGACCAGATGAAGTCCACATCTTTTCATCACACACAGGATGAAAAGTCAGTCATTCAATGTGGTGTCTTAAAAACAAGCACACTTGCAGTGATTGTGATCTAGGAATTATCAATCAGGTTAGCTTGTAAAAATAGTCAAGGCATTTCCAAGTCTGACTCTTAGTGGAAAACATCCTCTCTGTGGGTTTACTGACTAATCTGCCATCAGCGGAACTAAATTAGAACTCAGCAGGCTAAGTTGCATCTTCCTGTATTTGAGTTTCTCGTGATTATGGGCAGAACTTTAACGAGTTACAAATTTCGTAATTAAAATACAATTTGGGTCGAGTATGGTGGTGCATACCTCTAATCCAAGCACCAGGGAGGCAGAGGCAGGCAGACCTCTGTGAGTTGGAGGCCAGCCACGAGTACATAGAGAGGCCCTCTCTCAAAAAACCTAAACCAACGACACCAAAGCAGTTCCAGATCAACGCAGTAACTTTTATTAAAGCCATTAGAATGTCGGGGTCAAAGGTCCTCATTTATACTTATATTACATACACACATGATCCCCACTCATGTACGTTTTTGAAGGTGTTGGTCAATTATTCGCTTCTGCTGGTTTTTAGTTTTTAGAGCAATTGAAAACTACTGGCATGTAGGCTTTGTCATCTTGCTCTCATTAGCTCCACCTGAACGCTAGCTGGAAGTTGGGGCCGGGAAATATTAAGCTGCTTACGAGGAAGATTAATAAGATGCTGTGTTAGGGCCATCACATTTCCTGCTCTTGATATATTTACCAAAAATTTTTTTGAAAAAGGACACAGAAGTGAAGGTTGGTTACATAACTCACAGAGAGCCACTCCGCCTGGGAAAGTGGAGCCCAGCCACCTTCTAGCCCTGTGCCTGTGTGAGGAGTCTATTGTATTATGGCAAGCGTACACATGCCATTTCATGTCGAGGATGTAAAGGTACTGAAAACTGGGACATTTCCATCCGATTTTCTCAAGAATGCTAAACTCCATTGATCTAACCTTTCTTTCAAAAGGAAAGCGTGCACGGCATTATTTATCTATTTACAGTATTTATCTAGATATACAGTGCTATCTATCTATATGCATCACGTATCTATATATACAGTAAGCTGGCAAACGTGTAGAAGTAACTAAATTTAAATGGGTTTCAATGAACTAGTATGAAATATTCCTGCTTAACAAAGTCATAAGTGTCAATTTTTTTGAAGCATGGAAAACTATGGATAGCAACGAGGACCTGGGCAAACAAGCCAGCGGCACAAAGGACAGGCACAGCAACACGAAAAGATAAAATGACGAGGTGATGAGAGGAGATCGCGTTAAAGAGAAATAAAACTCAACCGATCCACTGAACGTGACTCTGAGTCTCCAGGAAAGTCACACTCTACAGAAGACACACCCAGGGCAGGTCCCTTCAAAACTGGCTTCAGGCAAGTGACTGCGGGGAAGGAAAGGGTAGAGTGAATGGAAAGCCGTCCCCAAGAGCAGGTGCGCATGGAGGGTGGTGCCAGCAGGCTCCAGGCTGTGCCCTCCAGCCAAGGAGGGCTGAACCAGCCTTCGGGTTCTCAGATTGCACCCTCCAACTCCTGCTGGACATACTCCAGCAGAGAAAGATCAGTGGGTGGGGGCAGGGAGAGGGCAGCGGAGTGTCTGGAGTGTCTTGGTGTGAGGCCAGCCCTCGGCAACTCATGCCACAAGGTTATTAGCCTTCGGAACAAAGGATTAATTCTCTTCCTATTATTTCCCAAGCCAGGAGGACCTCTGAACTGAAAACAGGATCCACAGTTGGGAATTTCATCTGGGCCCAAACCACTGTGATTTCTTCGGCAGATATCCTAACACCCTCGTTTTCTCTGCTGCCATCACAACTACTCCCCTTAAACTGACACCACAACACAGCTTTGTCCACGGGTAGGTTAGGGGTTATAATTTACTCAGTCATGGTGTACACTAAGGAAACAGACATTAGGAAGTTGCTGTTTCAGGAGTGGAGTGGGCCGGCACGATGACGGACATGTGGATATAGTCGGAGTCAGTAGCCATTAGCGGAAAACTCCATCATATACCAAAAGAAGCCCGACCTGTGGTTGGCTATACTGTTTTCAGCAATTAGGCAAGAAGTGTGGGCTGTGCAGACTCTTTTTATTTGCTTGCTTTGTTTTGGGGATAGCGTCTCGCTATGCATTTCTAGCTGACCTGGAACTCGCTGACCTCTGACCAGGCTGGCCTCTGACTCTCAGAGATCCTCCTGCCTCTGCCTCCCAAGTGCTGGGACTAAAACGGTGTGCGCTAGTATGCCTGGCTGTAGCAGACTTTTAATATGCAGTTTTACTGAGGGACACGAAAAATATGCAGAAGATAGAATATGCTTCACGGGGCTGAAAATTACAAGTAAACATGAAAACAACCAATGAAGCCACCATCCTCTACCTGTCCTAGGTAGGATTATCTTGGGCCACACTTTACCATCACATGGTAAAGGAATATCACGTGGAAGTCAAAATGGAAATGGCAGGCATAGCACCAAGTAAAGAAGGGGAAAGGGGGTTTCCAAGCAGAGGCAGCAGCAGGAGAGGCACAGCCAGGCATGGAACACGGCTGCTGGAAGCCTCGGCTTGTAAACGCAGAAGAGGCCAGCACCGAGGGAGGAGGCAAGCAAGTCAGATGAGGAGAACTTTGGCAGCGTGTTATCACTGGAGTTTTACTTGGCTCTGAGAGGGCCAGCTGGTTCATGGGAAGAGCTTTCAAGCAGGGCACTGGCACAGTCACACTGGCATGAAAAGA